ATTGGAGTGAGAGATAAGAAGAGATTAGAAAAGGCAAATCATGAAGTACATGACATCCTCCAGCAGTATGTAGAGTGAACTCCCCTGCCCATTTTTAAGACCTGAGCTTTAAGGATGGGGGTCTGGGTCATTCATATCCTTCCTGTAAACTTTTCTTCACCCAGGGCATTCTATACAATGATACAAGTTGCTGAAAGTGCAAGGAGACCCTGTGCTGAAGGCATTGCTGGTCTTTGTAACCCAAGCTTTTTGTTTCCAGCCTCATTCACTTGTACTTATGCTGGGACTTGGGTCATGTCCAGCATGCAGCATGCCCAGGGCTCTCCTTTAACTGGACAATGCTGCAAGTTACTGAGCTCTTCCACTGCAAAGAGAAAACATAGGAAAAATCAGAAAGGTGAAGAGCATTTTGCTGTGCAGGGCTTAGGTGGACATGGTGCAAATAGAACAGTCTCAGTGCTGTGGCTTCCTAACAAAAGGCAGAGCTGATTGTGCTTGCTGTTAATGGCTTGGGACCTCGTTCCTGTCTTTATACACAGGCAAATTTTCTATGCTTTTTCCATTAGTAAAAGTTTACTTTGTTGAAGTGAGCAGTTCCTCCGAGGGGATCTGATGACTATGCCTGCATGCCTCTGTTTTCATTAGCAGAATAGCTGTGTTTCAGCTGCGTTGCTCTTCATTGACTTTGTAGGAACAGGCTGGGAGAAAGACGTGGCTCCAGCTGCCCTCTTATCTCTGCTTGCTTTGAAACAGAAATTGCAGAAAAGCTGTCTCTTGCACCATTAGTCCTGTAAGCAGGAGTACGGCCAGCTTACTGGAAGTGTGCAGAGCCGCCTGTCTGAGAGCACCGATCCATTGGGGACACTGTTGGTCCATGGACTTGGGTCCTGCCACACCAGGCAGGCCTGGCATACAGTCCCATCTGAAAGCCACCTGGCACCATCTGCTCACACAAAGATTTTTAAGGCTGGGCAAAAATACTAGGAATCAGCTCCAAAGGCTTTGGCCTGGGCCTGTGTCATGCTATGCAAGGTTACAGATACCTTTCTTCTGCACGTCACCCCTGGTGAGCTGAGGTCAGCTTTGGCTTGTGACAGCACCCTGAAGGGCAGTTGAGGACTAAATGTGCCCTGAAATAAATTCTAAAAAAGTCACGCATGGTCTGTGAAACAATAAAAATCAGCGCTCCGCTACCCCTAGAGCTAAAGGAAAACTTTTAATCCTAACTACACAGACTGCGACAGCCATGGAAGTACCTAATTCACTTCAATCTCAGGTCTCTGTTTCCTCTCCATTTCCCATCTTTTACTGTCACCATGGTTGATGGCTGTTGAAAAGCCTTGTCCTGCTCCTGCATCTAGTTCTGAACATACAGACCAGCAGCGCTGGGAAGGAGGAAATGCTGCTGCTCATGTAAGCTGTCCTGAGTGTTGGCAGAGCTGTGAGGTTTGGAACAGAGTGATGTATTTCAGCTGTTGTGAAATTCCTGAATAATCAGCTCATCAAAAAATATCATGCAGAGTTCCCTTATAGTCCTCTCTAACTTGCCACCTCTCCTGCCAATAGCTCTGTAGGGTGACCACAGCCTGGCACAACCCATTAACAGAGCTCTGCACACTCATGAACAGAGCTGGCTAGAAAACGCAATTTTTCTTCTTAGGGGAAAAAAAAAAAAAGAGTTTACTGGGACAAGAGTCTTTCTAGCTTTGCATTTCAGGATGAAGATGTCATCTACTGTTCCCTCCAGCACCCTCCTCTGTTCTCTGTGCTCATTCTTCCCCACCCCACTTTTGGAAGTCAACTCCAGGAAAATAAAAATCTCCTTTCAAGTGGCCTACTGATGAACTCCTGTTAGCTCCAAGGTTGGGAGTCTTGCTGCAGGACATGCACCGATCTGCTGCCACCTTCTCAAGGCGGTACTTCTGGATGATGTGCTCTAAGACCTGCACTTTTTACTACTGCTACTCAGTCTCCTGTCTTGAAGAGCTATTGAGCAGCTTCGGAACCACAAACATGAGGTAATGGCCCTATGGAACAGGCTGCCCAGCAAGGTGGTGGAATCACTGTCCCTGGAGGTGTTCAAGAAACATGGAAATGTCGCTAAGAAGTGAGTGATGTGGATTGGTGGGGATGGGATGATGGTTGGAGGAGATGAGGTTAGAGTCATTAAGAGTGGAAAAGACCTCCGTGATTCTGTGACTCAGTCCTCTGGGGGAAGGCAGGAGTTGGAAGTGTAGATCTGTCCTGTCCTCAGCTGCTCCTCAGCAAATGGCCTACTGCCTGTACTCTGAGAGGATGGTCCAGTCAGGGCCCCCGGGGTCCTCATCAGTGCCCACTTTTAGTCACACCATGGGAGATATACACAGTACACACACAAAAGCATGCTTGAAACTCAAGCTTCTTACATAATTAAATATGTTGAAATAGCAAACAACCCATTGAAAAGCAGCAGGAAGTCACACATCACAAAATGGAAGCTGTTCCTCCATTCTCTGCTTCAGCAGCACAAATCCCCACTGCAGAGGAGGATTTATTAACAATAGTCAACCTTCATTTCAGGTATTCTGCCTTTTGTCCTCATATCACAACATTAACATTATCCCCACATAATTTTGTGTATTTAATTTTACAATAGACTGTGCCAGTGAGCACTGCCTGTAAATATTTGATCACTGCCATTCCTCTAGGATTATCTTATCAGGAGTAAAGATATTAAAATAGAAATCTTGTCATGTTACTGCCTTTATACTTAGAGCCTGAGAGTTGATTGACAGAAAATGAACTGCCTGAACTAGCTCTAAAGTGTCTTTTCACTGAGAGCTTCAATGCCAGAGGCTATAGAAAAAAGGTAGCTAGTCATCAGAAAATAATGCCTTGCTGTAGTTACGGAGCTTTTGTACTGAAGATTAAAAATATGAACCTACTAGGGATATTTTTTACAAGTGTAAAATGGTGGTGGGTCTTTTTGTATCTTTTTGCTATCTCTAATGAGCCTTAAGAAGAGCTTTCCCTTTCCTCCCTGTACTTGAATATTCGATGCAGCCTAACCGCAGCTTTCAGACACAGGCTGATATTTTGCTAGAGTAAGCTCTTGACTTATCTAACCTACAAAATTTATTTTACATGACAAAATGGTTTGCAAGCCAGGACTGAATGTTCCTACCTAGCTTGGAATATCAAACCACAATAGATAAGTCCAGTTTTCTGTTGATGGCCAGTTAAAACACACCAGTAATGCAGCTGTAATGTTACAAAATTGCTCTGAAATTGTCATGTGTGTGCAAATAAATACACAGCCATTCCCTGAGGGCTCAGCCAGCCCGTGCTCCTGCACAAATCAATGAGAGTTTTGCTGGGGTAAGGACCTAAGAACCAATTCAGGAAAGAGCCTAAGCACGAGCAAACTTTAATCACAAGCTCCTGCTCCTTAGAAATCAATAAAGACTTAAGCAACAGCTTTAAGTGCCCTTTTTTTTGAGGGGGGTGTGGGTTTGCACTTGCACAGGCAAAGGGCTAACAATTCCCAGCATTCAGAATAAATCTTGCTCTGTCCCATCATGATCCTAGAGAGCAGGAGGGGCTGGCTGATTCACAGATCAGTCCCATTGCAATGACAAACTGTAGCCACTGCCATTAAATCATTCCAGCCTTTCACAATGGTGACAAAGTGTGAGTGTGGGATGACCACAGTTGGAGTGGCTGGAGGAGGAAGAGCACTGTGCTTTGGCCAGATCGTTGCTCCCACTTTCTTTCCCTTGTAACATGAACAACAACTGTGTGAAATGAAACTAATTGGATGCTAAGCAGCCTATTACCATGCTGACATGAGAGGGATTTACATGGGTGACTCCCATTAGCAGTAGTGGGTGGTCCCCTCTACACTTTCCCTGGGCTCTTGATGCAGAAAAAAATTGTCCCAACATTTCACTTACGGGAAAGGTCAAGAGCTGTGGTTTTGTTCAGTGCGCTCAATATATTCAATTAAAATATACTGGCATGTTCGTCAGCTATTAACTGTCTTTGCAATAGCTGTAATTAAACAGATGCTTACGTGGGAAAGGAAATCCTTCAAGAGGCGAGCAGGAACTTCCCTAGTCACCATAGTGGGTTTCTTCACATATATTGACTCAGCCAATGAGAGTTTTCCTTTCCTTGCTCATGGAGTGAAGGGGTGTTTTGCCCCTAACAGCCACAGTTTCCCTGCAGGGATGTGAGAGTAAGGGGTTGGCATGGTCCCTTCCCAGCAGGAGATACACAGGCACTTGCAGGTATATCACATAAAATATCACTTGACATGGATAAGAGAGAGAGAGTATGAGAGAGTTATCAGCTGAGTATTGAGCAAACTCACTTTTCACAGACTTGAGCAGTCGGTGGCCTCTGATTCAATGGGCTGTAGGGAGTTAAAAGCCACACACCTTGCTTTGAATTTTCCTCTGAAGGGACTAAAATGAAGGAAAAAAACCCAACTAGTGCAGAGGAGCAAACTGAAGGAAGCAAAAAGTAATTACTCAAGCCAACTGGTCTAATTATATAGACAGAGCAGAGCAATCATTGGCACTCTAAAGACAGATAGTGGGGAAATGGAGACATAGGAGAAAATAACACAGGCTGAGGAATTAGTATTCCTCGTGCTGCAGAAAAGTGAGTTATTCGCATTATACAGACTTGTAGAAAGATGGAGGCAGGAAAAAAACAGAGCTAGAACATCCAGAAAGCCAACAGGGAGGAGTTGTCACTGCAGCGGAGCCTGGTGTGATGCCACCTCTGCTGCTGGAAGGAAGGGAAGAGAGGAAGGGGAAGGGAGGCAAAGGGAGGGACAGGCAGGGAAAGGCAGGAAGGTGACAGTGCACAATAGTCAATCAGGTCTTCAGCAAAGTTTAACAATTACAGTGGTTGTCAATTGCAAACTGCCTATGAAAAGTATGCAAACATTGACCCCAAGTGTTACACTGAGAACATGGAAATTAAAATCATCTGTCTTACTTGATTCAGAGCCTCCCACATAGCAAGGTTGGTATTTAAGGAAAACCTTGGCCGGACTCAGATTGCTTCTTTCTGCTAGATTAAAATTAAATTAAGTCAAAATTTAGAAAATACTGGTTTAATTAAAGATACTTCACCAGCTCATAAATTATGCATTCCCCTTCCTGTTGCGAAGCGTAAGTTTGATGCTAGGTGTCAGCGCTGTGGAGGATTCCTAAAGGTTAGTTCCCATTTATGTGCTGCATAAAGCAGCCTTCTAGAAACGGGTGACTAATTACTGAAGTTACCAAATTGCTACCCTGGCCTGCTTAGCAAATGTGCTTCCCTGACTTCAGCAAGAGCAGTTTTCTCTGGTGGCTTAGTCCAAATTTGCAAAACAGGACAGCGGAAAGAGACCTTGGCCAAAAGCAGACATTGGTATGGAATCAAGCATGACAGTATTAATGGATAATTATCCAGAAAATAATTATGAAATGTTAAAAGTCTGGCTATCTCACACAGACCACTGCAAGGAATAGTACCTCTGTTTCATTGCAGAGCAGCAAAAGGAGAATCCTCGCAAAGTAGCTTTCCTCATCCTCTTACCCATGCACATTAGCATTGAAGCTGATACCCCACTGAAAAAAAGGAAAAAAAAAGCTGCAGAAGATAGAAATAGAGCATCCATTATCCCCTAACACAGATACCTGCTGGATTAGCTGCTGTGCTGAAAAGCAGCCGCTACAGAGAGAAAGGAGCTCATTGGCACCTTGCTGCCAGGAGAGGCAGCAGTTCCAGTGGAGATACCCCAAGCACAACCTTCGAGGTGCAATCCTCCTGCTAAGGGTGGCTGTGGTTGCCTCAACCAGGACTAAATCAACACCAGTGCAGCCTGAAATGGCTGGAAAATCCACTTATGCATGATCCTGGCCATTAGCGGGTACTGGGGGCAGATCACAGCGCTAAGCCCTATGGCACACCTTGTGCCACATTTTAGAAAGCTTTGCAGAGCTACAGCAATCCCTCTGAGAGAATTAGAAGCCCTTGAGCTGATTATTCAGATAAAGGCACGATGAGATAAGCTCTGGTACCATCAGAAAGGGTGCAAAACACTGTCACACGAGGGAGAGCTGGGCAGGATGTGAACTCTATTTAAGCAGTCCCCGGGTAAACCAGCTCGCAGCCGACTGTCAGCTCCCTTCGAGCAGCGCCTTTGATTGCAGCGCTCCGTGAAGGAGCACTTGTCACTTTTTATCGAAAGAGAGGGGAAGAAAGCAAGGCAGCCGCTGCTGGGAGAGGAGATGCCACTCACTGTTCATCACTGCGATAGACAGCTGCGCTGCCCTGGCTGCTGGTGATCAAGGAGCAAGAAAAAGAGAACTGCACGAGACTGCAGTGAGCACAGAGTGGGGAGGGAAGGCCCCACAATCTGCTCATTGCTGGTACCAAAACATCTGAGCCATGGGATGCGGGGGCTGAAATAAAGGGAGGTTCAGAGTTACCCAGTGCAGAGGAGAGCTTTAAGTCCTCTTACAACAAAAGGGCCCTAAACTGTTTGGCACTGTCTGGCTGGAGCTGGTTGGACTTTCCAGCATTGTGAGTGCTCATGGCAAGGGAGCAAAGCCACAGCACAGCCTATCCCACACCTCTGCCTTCCCCCGGCATCAAGTTCAGAGCTGTTCAGTGAAATCTGGCCTGAGGGGGCTGGAATTCCCCACTCACTGTATTAAAGCATTGTGATTGTATCTTTGCAAGCCAGCCCACTGTAGACACAACACAGAAGGCACAAAAGCTCCGGAAATGAGAGAGCATCTTTTCCTGCCTTTGTTTGTCAGAATCCTGCTTGCTCTAGATAACAATCAGCAAACAGAGAGCCATGCTCAGAAGGCTCAGGCAGAGAAAGTCCAATTTCCCCTCAGCCACTGGTACTTATGCTAAGGGCTACTTACTCAGGCACAATTAAAGACCCCAGAGATGACAGCGGTAACTGAGAAGGCCCAGGGAGTGGCTCTACAGACATAGAAGAGACCAAAAAAACAAAGCAGTGTTAGAGCACTTCCACAACCACAAGGCAAAGCATTTTGCACCAGAGCTGGGAAAGCTGATATTTAACAGCTGGATCCTGCAGACAAACCGATTTGCTTCTGTGGTTTTGTTGCTTACAGCAAAGCAGAAAATGTTTATACCTATTATTTTTTTTTTCCTAAATTCAGCTTCATTTTTGCCAGATTTGTCCAAAAAACCCATGCAGGTTCCAGCAAGACTCTCCAGACACACTTCCCCACCACACTTTGCAGCCTATCTCCTGGCCACAGCACACAGATGTGGTGGCAGTGAGGCTGTGACACCGTCCCAGCTTCTGAGGGTCGCACCCCTGTCCTAAGGTATTACACAGCCCTTTGGCAGAAGACAGTGCCAGGGTCACCTTCTAAACAGGCAATCGAAGGATGCAGGAGCAAGCACAGGACAGCCCTCCCCTGGAAGAAGCAGATGGGAGTGACTCCAAGCCCCAGATATTGAGTTATCATCTGGACCTGGCTACATTTCCTTAAGGCTCCCTTCTGTTCATCTCACTGGTTGGTAGCTGACATATGGAAGTCTTCGTGCTCCTGGCTGCTTTGCCAGAGGTCACAGCCCTTTCTTTTCCCTTGCTAAAATGGGGGTCCTGGAAGCATTGTGGTCTCTTCCCATCCTATCTGCAGCTATGCAGACTTGTGACTGCATTAGCTCTCGCTGTGCACTGACACGAAGGGGAAGGACTCCAGGAAGAAGCTGCCAGCTCCAAAACCACAGGATGTTTTCCTCCAGTAAAAACTCCACTGCAGCCCAGGGCTGGATTGTGGCACTGATCTCACCAACGTCCAGCTGTTTGTGGGATGCTGCCAGCATTGAGGAGGGGACAGTCCCATGTCCCAGGTGAGCAGGTCCAGACAAAGGGTAAAAACATCACAGGGAGCAGTTCTGCAGTCTATGGGAACAGCCTGGTGCCCATCAGGGGACACATGGCCAGAGCGAGTCCTGCCCATGACACAGCTGCTAGGAAGCAAGTGGATGAGCATTGCCCATGGGATGCATCTGTATGCAGCACCTCTGTTGTGTGAAGCAATGAAAATCCTTTTTCATTGTCTTCTGAGGGTTGGGTTTTCTTTTGTCCTTTTTGTTCCTTTTCATTTTTAAGAGAGACTGCAGATCTTGCCTGTCCCAGGAAACACATTATAAAACTGCAATTTGCCTGTCTTGGCTCTCTCACCCTAGCATTGACCCTAAAGATGAACTCCCATGAATAAGTCTAATCCTGTTTTTCATGTTTCCCCAGGTAAATGAATATTTATGAATCTTTTCTCCAGAGCCGAAGCAGGGCCCTTACAACCGGCCATGATAGTTCAATTTGTTTTCTTGCCAATTCTTCAAATTGTTTTTTGTTGTTGTTGTTGTTGTTGCTGTTCTTTTTGAAACTTAGGGAAAAAAAGAAATCTCATTCCCGGTCGGTTCTTATCAAAGTGTGTGTGGCTTTTCAGTTGATTTTTTTCTTTTTTTTTAAACTCAGCTGGTGCTTGGAGGCTTTCCAGTTGGCTTGAATGATTAATGTGGTGCCACTGACTTGTTTTGTGTTTGTATTAAAAAAAAATAAATGCACGATTCATGTTTTCCAAAGAGCCAGTTAGGTATCTCTGATTGACCACGCCATGTAAGTTTAAATTCTTTGTGTGCTCAAAACATATACAAAAAAGAAGCATTGCCACAGAGATGAATGGTCAAGGTTAGAGACACCGGCTAAACAAAAAATAATGCCTCTCAGCAAGCTGTGTATTAGACTGTAATCATGACAAAGCCAGGTCTTAATATCTACATTCATTTAAGGGAGGAGATTTGTTCTTATGTCTACTATTTATTTAGCTTTCCTAAATTCAGTTTGAATAGCAAAACAGCTTTTCCAGTTTAGCTGCGCTATCAAATCAAGGTCATTCTCCTAAGAGAAAGATCAAGATCCTTTATAAGGGGAGGGGGGGGAAGAAAATAAAGAAAAAAAAAGAAATGACTCTCACTGATTGATCTGCTGAACATCATTAGAGAAGGGTAAGAGATAATCTAAACATGCTCTGTGCTTCATTGACTCACATGGGTGCTTTTTGAGTGTGAAACAGAAGGAAGTTATGCAATTACCTTAGAGGAAAAACATTTCTTTAGCAGTATTTGGAAGTAAAATAGGGTTGGGAAGGGGGAAGGATCCTGAAGGGCTCTTACAAGCTGTGTCTTTGTGAGTCAATAAAGCAGTAAAGAAATGCAACTCTATTGATTTACATTATGTGCTACTTCCCAGGTGAGAGTTCAGCCTTTTATAATGTTTTTCACCCAACATTTTCATATTTTCTATAGAAGTTTGATAGCACTTAATAGCATGTACTTATTTAGAAATAATAACTGTTTACGCTTAAACTCATTATGCTAAGACATGCCTCTTGCTCAGAGGCTCCTTGGAGAAGTGTATGAGAAACCAGCAACTTTTACTTCTGCAGGAGCCAGATTTTGTGTTATAGAATCTCAGAAAACCAAAACCATTGTACTGATTGCTGTGAATTTATCCCTGGGGGAGGGAATGGAAGAGGGAAGGAAAAAAATCTTAGCAATAATAAATAAAATAATAATTATTATAATAAAACCCCTCTTTTTCCTGTCTCATTCGGCTGGACCACGCTCTGAGCACACTGATCCAGCTGTAGATGTCTCTGTTCATTGCAGGGTGGTTGGACTACACGACCTTTAAAGGTGCCTTGCAACTGAAACACCACCATGACTCTGTTACTCTATCCTATGATTTCTGACTCTGGGTGCAGCTCCCCACACCCCCTTTCCCCACCATTTAGCAAATAGCAATCAGTGGGACCACATCACCCTTACCTGCAGCCAGAGGAGATGCTTGAAGAGGGCGGGATGTTAACCAGAACCCAAACCCCAATGACCCGTCAAGGAACATTGACAATGCAGTCAGTCCCAGGAGAGTTGTCTGCTCCTCTGCCAGGCAGCTCGGGTATCTGCTATTTATCATTGCTGTAAACCAAAACAGAATTACCATAACTGTTCAGGTTTGGGTTTGTTTTTACTGAGATCATAAACAAGCTGATGACACTGGATTTTATTACGCCACACTCTTAACTGTGCTGGCAATTCAGCCTGATTTCCAACACCTTGCTCACCTCTGCTCCTTTGCAACAGTATTAAACAGCAACTTTCTTCAAAACAAACCCAATTGTTCCAGGAACACATCTGAATTCAGCAATATGTCTGTCAATCCAGTGGGCTGTCTTTCCTTCTGCCTTCCTTAGGAGACAATCACTGCCTGCTGGGACTTTATGCAGAGATTGCTAACTTGCTGTGCATACACTGATGCAAAGAATGAGCTTTGTAATTTAAATAACAGACTTTGGAATTGGTGACAGACACAAACATGGTCATTCACCCAGCTGTGGAAAACTGCAACTAAGGTTCCAGCAGGAGGGTGGAGGAAACATATTGTTTTCTTTGAGGACCAGAAACACAGCCTGCAGCCATAGCTGTCTCGCATAGGATGCTACACTTATAAAGTAGCACAGAGTGATCCCCAAAACAGAAGAGGTTACATGGTGCCCTGGCTGAGCAGAAGAGACTTGCTCCTCTTCCTCATCTCACCAGGCCATGGCTGGGTACAGCCCCAGTGCTACATGGCTGCTGTAGACAGTAAAAATTACAGCAACTCTATGGAAAAACCTTGTAAACACCTTTTCAGGTGAAATCAGCCTCTTTAATCTGCTGTGTTCCATTTGCATAGCAAGAAAGGCTTTGGGTTTTTTTCTTTTCATAAGGGTGATAAATGCATTTTCCTTTTGCAGAAAAACAAAGACTCTGACAAGGCCCTTAATCACCAAATCAGTATAAACAACATTACAATACATTAGACTTGGAAATGCTAAACTGTGATTATGCAACAACTAATTAAATTAGTACTGACAGCTTTCAAAGAGTAGGAGAAAAAGGCACAATGCATCCTTTGCTTTCAGGAATGGCTCTTCCTAGAAACAGCGAAGACACACAAGCTGCAAACACTTTCCATCTGGGAACAAGTCCACCCATGAAACACCCACACCTGAAACACAAACCTCCACTAAAACAGAGAAACCATTTTGCAAAATGGAGCTGAGCCTGAACAGCAGTGAGCAGCGAGCAACAAGTTGAAGTCCTCCTTAAAGCGAAATCCAAGGAAAAGCCTAATTACTGCCTCCGTGCCACCAAGCGGGAGCTACCAGTCTTCTAGCAATAACCTGAGTTTAATTATTTGGGAAGAACAAAAGCCTTCATTTGGCTGAGGAATGGCATAAAACTCACAAACAGCAGCAAGACAAACTAATTACTCATGAACAGTGTTAATACCCTTTGGAGGGTTCTTAAAATACTTGAAGGTTGCTATGCAGTGCAGGTCCCAACCTGATTCCAGGGATGGCAACAGTGCAAATCACCTGCTGGCTCAGGTAGGACCCAGAGGGACCCCACATACAGTGCCTCTATATCCCAGCTCTGTGCCCAGCACTGAACTGTGGGAGCATGCAGCCCTTAGGCACCCCAACCACCGCTGCACATCCATCCCAGTGAACAGCAGTGATATTAGAAATGGGAACACCTCCGGATCCCACCCTATGCAATGCTTGTCAGCTTCTTGAGATGCTGTTTTCTATAAAGGAACTTAATTTACATGTTAATAACACCAAAAACCATGGTGTGAGAGGGAGAGAGATTGAAATTTCTATTTAAAATCTTTCAGAATTGGGAATTTTGAATTTTTTCCAATACACTCAAAAGAAAATCCTCCCATTAATCTTCCTGTAGGTCTAATTCTTCTCTTTGGGAGGCTCTTGCAAGTGGCTGCATTTTGCTCCTGACAGTCTTTTTATCACCTAAGTCCCACCTGTGCCCACAGGAGCAAAGCTCGGTGCTGGGACTCCATTGCCTTGCCAGCAGCTCTCACTCAACCTGTATCCCTGCTTGCATTAAGGAAGGTGTGCTTTCCTCCTCCTCCCCTGCACTGAGATCGCCATGCATGAGCACAGCCACGGGCTCTCTGCTGACCCAGCAGATCTCTTCCTTTCCCAGCACAGATTTGGGATTTTCAAAGTATTCTTGTTTATCACCTTTTGCTTTCAGATACTGAACTCTCACTTCTTTGAAAACTTCAATTCTGTGGTTGTGTTTGGGCACATTCCCATGATAACTGGGTGAACATAGGGAGAGATGTGGGTGGAACAAGGCTGGGCAGCTATGTGTGCTTATCTGGGAGGAAAGCTGCAGGAGGGAAATCACACTACTAGCATCCTCGCTAATACCCATTCATCACCTAAAAAAAAACCCACAACCCTAATAAATTAATAAAATCACTTCCTTCTGCAAATGGCAGCAGCCAAAAAGCTCATCCACAGTGTTGCAGGTCTTTGTGCTTTAAGCAAAGCCCCACAGCATAGTAGAAGCCAGCAAAGCTTGCAAGAGCAGTATGAAAAATCAGCTTAGGAGACAGCAGACCTGCAGCAGAAAATGTTTTTTTCTGTATTTAAAATACTTGGTAACACTGGCCAATCTCATCAGCTCAGCGCATGTGCTTACCATGATGCTGCATGGTCAGGGCTCAACCTAAAAGCTTAAGTTTTTTTCTTCTAACTCTGTACTTGGCCACATCACATCATTGCAAAGGAGCCCAGCCTATTCATTTGTGCATGAAAGGACAGACAGCACGTCCTTCCCCAAAGGGCCCTCCCAGCACTGCCAGCGTGAGAGCAGAGGTGACTCGGAAAGCGATAATTAAAAGAAAACTCTCAGGTCCTCTGCAGTCACACATTTAGAGTGGTGTGGGTAGGGGTCCCTCCTCCCTCTCTCCCTTCCCAGAGCACAGGGTTGGGCATTTTGTCATGCAACACAGACTGGACAAGGAGCTCCAAGGATGCTGGAGGTGGTGGCTCGGGTCATCTGTCCAGTCTGAGTGGAAATGTGGGTCTTTAAGGTTTGCTACGTGTGAAACACTCTTCTCTAAGTGCAGCTGAAGTCAACTTTCTGTCCTTCTAATATATGCCAGATAAACAAACCACTCGTAGAATAACAAAGAAATATCACCAGCACCAGAAAAAGTCCTGCAGCCAGCAACTCTCTTCTGCATATTTTATCTTATAATCCACTGAGCTAATACTTAACCACCACACCAAGCAGGTGGAAGTTTGAGGGCCATTGAGCACTGTGAATTTTCCCAATGCATCACAATTACCAAAACACCTGTGCTAAATAACTTTGCGCTGAGCCACTGTGAAAATTCACAGAGTGCTCAATAGCCCTTGAAATTTCTCATTTCTAACCAGGGCTGGAGTGGCTGAGCACTCACACACTGCAGCACAGCACAAAGCAGGTAAGGACACTGGTTCAGGACTTCATAAAGTCCCCTTTTTCTCTAGCTGGAAGTTACGCCATCCCTGTGATTTTCAGGCTGCTCCTACTTCGTCTCTACAATTATGCTCACTTGGAGTTAAGTGAACTGCATTGCATGAGCAGAGTCCAAACAGCACCCCGCTCCCCCGTCCCTTTTCCCCCACCCAGCACAGCTGCCTATATCAGAACCTTTCTTTTCCAGGTTGGACAGGTGTCCAACCAGAGGCTGATCCTGAGCTCAAGGCATCCCTCTCCATACTCCCCATCTTGCTCTCACGGAGTCATCAGAGCAGGACCAAGGGCACAGGACAACCCCAGGACAAGCTCGGCCTTGGGATGCACAGAATGAGGCAAGGCTCAGCAACCAGCCAGGAGCTCTTTAAGTAACAGTACAAGACATTAACAACCACATCAGCCCTGCTGCATCAGCTGTAGAGGAAGCTGAGAGGAGACTGAAGATGTTTCAGCCAGCAGAAGCAAGAAGAATGGGAGGAGGCTGATAAATAGTGGGGAGCCAGAGACATTCAGTCCATTTGGTCTGTCCCCAGGAAGGTGAAGAGGTGACTTGAAAGTGGTCAACAAGTGCCCAACTAGAGACAGGAGTAATAGGATGAGGCTCTTTAATCTGACACAAAGGCATCTTGAGATCCAGTGGCTGGAAACTAAAGGCATTTCTACAGAGACATAAAATCATTCTTGGTGCAGAACAGTTAAGGCAATTAACTAAGCACCGGAACAATTTACCTGAGGATGCAGCAGATTCTCTGTCACTTCAGTGCATTAGATTGGACCTCTGTGGGACATCTGCACTCCACCAGAGCATCTGGGCTTGATGATGGGGGTGTCATACAGGAATGTTGCCTCTGTGTGCTGTTGGGGTTTGCTTCTATATACTGAGCCCAGAACAGGAGTTCTTTCACAGCCAGCGATAGCAGTCACTAGATACAAATACAAAGGGGGAAGAAAAAACACAGAAGTGAGAAAAATTTGGAAAAAACAACACATCTCATCAGATGTCCCCAGAGCCTCACAGGGCAGCCCAGCAGTGTGTTCAGACCCTGCTTTCTGCCAATTTGCTGCTCAGAAATGAGCAGAGCAGAAGAAAACCATCTGTACACAGACGGATGGAGGCTGAGCATGTCCACTCTGTGTCCCAGCCCTGCTCTTCCCCATAGGGCTATGCAGTATCTCCACACCTGCTGGGCTGTGGTTTCCACATACTGGCTGCTCAGTGGCCACATCCAGCTCACCTGTGGGAATGCACTGAAGAAACACTTTGGTCTGAGCCACCAGCCACTAAAAGTGACTCTCAAATGCATGAACTGGAAGGTGTCCACTGATGCAAGAGACCACTCCAAATATCAGTTTTCTAGTTTTTAATTGGTGACAGAGTTTTATTTGGCTTGTTTCTGAATGATTCCCCCTCCTTTCTGATCTGGAGAGCTTTCAAATGTCACAGTGAGAGCTCTCAGTATCATTGTTCTTCAAGACTTTAAAAATCAAACCAAACCAAAAACCAAACAAACGCACACATACACACACAAAAAAAGCCCACAAAAAATAAAACCAGCACACAAAACCCAACATCTGCAAACAGTCATGCAGGAAGACAGCCAAAATCTGATCATGAGCATTAACATTTAACTACTGCTGTATTTCACTATGTGCCCGCACATCTTGTACAAAGGCAGACACCCTTATGCTCCATGTCCCCTGCAAGTAAGCAAGTACACATGCTCCATTCATAATTAATGGCCTGGCTTTCCAAAAGCACTAACAACTGCATCTGCTTCAGCCTGTTGAGGATTTGGTCCTAAAGGTTTGGTTTCACCAAACTAATGCTCTGCCTGCAAAACAGCCATCTAGGAGACAGTGGAGCCAGCCTTTGACATTTGGACTCCAAATGTACCCAAACCAGCATCAAATATAACCACAGTCATCCTCTGAAATCAATGCTGGCTTTTCTGTACATTTCAAGGGTGATATGTTTGGACTGCAAATATTGTTTTCTAAGGTGCATAGTGCTCAAGATTGGGGCTAAGCCCTCCCAAAGCTTCAAGCAAGCACACAGCCCCCAGCACCCCTGCAGAACTGAACTTCTACATTATTTCAAGCCATTCCACAACTCCCGAGGATAGATGAACACAAAGCAGAGCTGTGTCTGCACCAGGCAGTCAGCACTTCTGCACTCAGCAGGGAAGCAGTGATGTTCTAGATGTGTAGGTTGCTGCTAAAAGGTATTGAAAACAACCCATAGATGAGCTGGGTTGGATTTATTTACTTGTTCCCCTTCCCATGGAGTGAGATATGCTCTGAGTAGATTTGCTTTGATAGAGAACTGGAGAGAAAGCCTCACCAAAGCTCCTTTCCTGCTGCCAGAGGACTGCCTCAAGTGAGCTTTTGGCTTTTAAGAGGAGACAAAACTGTTGGCTAGTGCAGACATGACCTGAAAATAATCCTCCATTCCTCTTCCTAATAGCTTTTATTTCTGCTTTTCTCCACCCAGTAAGATCCCTCCTGCCCCTTTCCTCTCAGAAAGGAAGAGGGAAGCCTGGCTGCACTGGGGCACAGGGGCTCTCAGCTCCTGGTGTGCCCTGTAAGAGGGATGTTGCTCACCACTATCCATCACGCCCCATTTTCACTACACAAAGTATTTGAATTCTTTAATGACATGTGAAGAAAAAAATGAAAATAAGAATGAAAGAATGAAAATAAGATATGTCTTATATCCTTAAATCCTCCTTAGACTAGCTCTCTTCTCTCAACAGCTACCATCTTCTTGATGATGAACCTAAAACAACAAGTTGAAACTGGCCCTGGGACCCAGCTAAATATCGTAAGATGCACTTTTTCCATAGCTATTACTACAAGCTTCAATTGACTTTTCCACCTAACCTATGAAGTTAGCGTCAGAAGCAGTGACTGTCCACAAACACATTAATCCTTGCAAAATGCATACCTGTAACTGACAGTTTGGAGAGGAGATACCCGAAAATACGATACACAACTTTAGAGATAAAACTTCACCAGGATGTTTCATAGAGGTTAAACAGACTTTGACCAAAATAAAAATACACCCTAATACCTTTCATCTGCTTTTACCTCTCTGTTGTCTGTCACACATTTCATACGGTTCATCCTTCATTTGCAGTGATCTGTGAAAACCTCTACAGGGATGACATGGAGGGAACAAAGCTGGATAAAATCCTAGAGTATTTGCCAAACTGACAAAAAATATAGAAGAGAAAACATCAAGCCCAGCCAAGTCAAATATCAATCTACTTTTGTGTGCTTTGTTTCATTAAGTTTACTTTATGATTCATTTGTAACAAACTGTGGTGGATAATGAGTACTTGCAACACAAACCTCTATGTGCTTAAGAAATCTCTCTCTCTGCACAGAGAAGGACTGGATAAAAACAACAGAGCCCTCTCATTTGAAAAAGCCCTCAGTGGTCTAAGTACAAGTGGAGATCTCTTAAGCAGCACTGAACAGAGAGCTCCAGCAATGAAGCACTCGCATCAACGCTGAAGTATTCAAGCCCTGTGGAGACATCCCAGCCCATTCTATTCAAGCCTGCCAAGATGCCCTGTAAGCACATCTCTGAGCATGTAGTGGTTTTTGGGCAGCTGCCTCCTGGGTGGATAGCCCGGGAGATACCCACAGGCAGGCATGTTCGTGCATCCAACAGCTCTCCCAGAAGACACAGCCAACCCCAGCTTACATGTCAAACAACAGCAGAAGTCTGAAGCTGCAGAAGGCTGAATGCCTGACCACCATTGGTCTTGGTGGTAGTCCATCAGTGCAGGATCAGATCTAGATCCACCAGAGTCTATCCAGGCCCCTTTCCACCACAGCTCGAGATTTCTAAGCCCAAAACATCTCATGTGGCAAGCTGCTCACATTTCAAACTGGATGTGACAGGTGGACAAATAGGAAGGGAAAGCACTTTAAAACAACATGAGATTCATAGACACGTTCATTTCTCACGCAGAAGTTAGCCCTTTATACAGATAAATTCGCACTTCTCTCTGGTTTACTTAATTTTCTTTATGCTTCACTTATAAGCAGTCCTACAACTAATCAGATCAATGCCAAGACATCAGACTTTGTCAAATTCCTCAAAACTTGTGCTATTCCCAGGCTGGTCCTGCCATTTGCCTCCTTCAGCCATGACCACAGGGAAGCAATTGCACCTCCACTTCTGCCAACCTGCAGAAACTGTTCCGTTATCAATAACTGCAGCACTGAAGAGAGTGTCTCCCGTACGACAGGCAGCTAGAAATGAGCTGATCCAGCAGGAAAAAGAGCACGAAGGACTGAATTGCAGGCAAGCTGCAGGTGTTCAGATAATTGCAAGACTTTGGCAAACTGTGGGAACAGCACACGCTCCTAAAACGACAGCACAGGCTTTAATACTTGCACTGCACATCTGTGCATCAGTGTCTCACTCCCCCCCACCTCAGCATTTTGAATGTACAGTGGAGCTATGCAAAGCCCTTGGGTGAAGATCCAAACACTCAGCAAAGAGATAAATGGCATGACAGCCCACTCTGCCCCAGCATGGGCCCCACTGGACACCTTCAGCTCTTTTTGTTCCACAGGAGATAGAGCATAACACCCATTTTGTGCCATTTGCATGCTAGCCCTGAGGGAATAAGGAGACAAGAGCAGAGTTTTCCACTTTCTCTTATGCTTCCCCTTCCATTCATACATTTATTTTCCCATTGTATTTTCTAATAGTTTCCAATTCTGCGAGAAGTTCAGTAAAAGAATAGATTCTCTTTGACTGCAAGGGCCCTCAAGTACAGTAACATTACACCACCCGTATTTCTCCACCTCCACTGAAGCAGAATTCTCCTGTGCAAGGCAAAGCCACACAGGTTTACCAGCTTTTACTATTCTGTGCATCCTGTTAACACGTTACAGTTTCCCGCTCATTAATCCTGCAAAGGAGCATTTACAATGTATTTAAAACACTTTTCCTCCTTTACTAGCTCCCTGTGGTGCCGTCCAGTTCCTGATCTGAAGAGCAATCAATAAATAAGCCCTGCCATCCGCCGGGGTTCCTGGCTGCCCAATTAGAACAGCAACCCTCCACATGCTGTTTTATTGTACGCAGCGGCAGTCGACTTTGGCACAGCTCTCAGAGCCTAACACTGGTTTTACATGTTTATATTTGAGCAACAAAGCCTGGGAAGTCAGCGGGGCTGGTCTGAGCCAAGTTACATACAAATTCACCGGAGTTTCCGTCGCACAGTGCTTTCGCCAACCGGTTGCGTGGGGGTTGATGGCAGTGTCATCATTTTAATTGCTTGAAACAGCGAATGGGCGGATTTCTGGCTTGTCAAGGACATTGTATGGGGAAAAAAAAGAGACATTATTAATCTCTCCAAAGCCTAGCTGGTGAGTAGGACCTTAAAGCAGCTGAGCAGTGAACAAAGCGTGCTCAGTGAGCAGGCAGCATGCCACGGCAAGGGGCAAAAATCAGCCTGCAAAATAAGTAATGTTAAAGTTGCTGCTCTGCCTCACACAATCTCTAGAAAAAGGGACATATTTTCTTGGGATACCATAAATTCACTTTGTGAACTACCATCACCAGTTTGTGCCAACGCCCGGCCTCAGTGCCTGGCCTGCTGAAGACAAGCAGGGAAGAGGGCTGCTTGGCCAGGTCTGCTTCAGGACCAGGAGGCTGTAGGGAAGCCATGACCCCTCAGATGGCCTCTGTCTGCCTGTCTCAGCTACAAGGACTCATGCAGTGTGGAGTTCACCCAGCAAATGTGTTGGCAGAGGAAGGAGTAGGAAGCCCTGAGGGACAGCAGAGTCCCTGTTGTGTCTGAGTTTGCTTTGCTGCATTTTCACATGAGACAAGGCTGATCCCCCAGCCAAACACCAATGCCAGGGCACGACATCCCTGCAGACATTGCAGAGCTCTCTG